GTTAGAACAATTTTACATATTGAATCAATCAAAACAATATATTGTTCCATCCGCAGGATCTTCCCTATAGTTGAACCCGCAACAAAACCATTAGCAGGAAATCATTAAAAAAAATTAAAAATTTAATTAAATCATAGAAGTAATTTTAAGATGGTTTTGGTTTACATGTCATGTAAAATTCCTTATTGTTTGCTGTGTAGGGCAGATTCATGGCGGCAAATTCTGAAATTAATTTATTTACAAATCCATCATTTCATCTCGCGAATGAAATTATACCTACTCTTACCACAAATGCAGCAATTTCGAATTTCTTTTTATTGCCTGGGATTCCATCTCAGCAATTGATATTACTAGTGGTATTATTCAGTGTTCACGCGAATAAATACTAACATTTAAACATTAAAAAACTTTCAATGTACATGAGGATGAAGTTTTTCTATTTGCAATACGGTTGTCATTAGTTTTTTCACGTATTCAGAAATATACCATAGGGGAAATGACTCTAATGTAGGCCTATGGATCTAAAATTGGGCCCATCGCTTAAAATCTGCTATTTATCAATTTTATCTAGATGAACGCGTCATTGGGACAGTACTAATGGACATTTTTACATCCATTTCCCCTATGCATGGTATTTTAAAACATTTTTTTTTATTTGTTTTACGTCGATCTTGTTTTCCGTGCTGACCAATGCTACAGAACGCCAGGAAGGCAGCTCCCACACCTGGAATCTACCTATCGACCAACGGCTTTACTGGGATTGAGCCTATGCCTGCTGAGGTGAGAGGTAATCACACTTACCACTACACCACTGGCACCGCTAAAACATAAAATGTAATCAGCAAAAGAAAAACGTCAGTGCTGTGGGTTTGACTCTACTACAAAAATCGAATCTTGAAATGGGAGAAGCGAATTGCATACCACCCAGGCTAATTGAGGTATGGTTTATTTAACTGCAATAAATAGTGGTTTCTACTAGTAGATTTCTGATTTCAGTGTGGTAATTTAAAAACAATACGGTAAAGGTTACTTCAATTGACGATATATTCGAGGATATATTTACTATTTTGTGACATACTAAAAATAAACACGGGTTGCTTGCCAAGCCTACTAGATATTTATTTTCAGTGTATTTTCGCGCGGCTTAAGGACAAGGTTGAAAGAATCCAACAATGACAGTTGTCATTGCTGACTTTCCTTGTAAAATCAAAACAAACGAACGTGTCCAATATGTTCTTATCGATGCGTTAGGACTGTATCGAAAATAATTTGTAGATATTATTTTTTTTCTTTCCAAATCGTTTCTTACATGAAAAATATTTTAAAACGAAAAAATGTTCTTCAAATATGTATGTAATGTACACAAAATAAATAAAAGAAACATACTTTTAGGTACTAAGGGAAACAGCCCTATTGTTGCGGTACGTTAGCAGCGTTAGAAGCCTATTGTTGTGTATGGAGACCTCCATACACAACAATAGGCTTATAACGCTGCTAACGTACCGCAACAATAGGGCTACTTCCCCTATTATGATCTTCGATTTTGCTCCTCGTATACATTTTAGACAGTGTGACAAAACAGGTTTTTCGCACTTTTTGTATTGCGCATTTTGCACCAAAGTAGACGCCTGCGCTGAAAATAATCCCCCAGATTTTATCTCGCTCATGCCAGTAAACATAAAAATTAGCCATTCTCAATGTAATATAATGCTACATTTTACAATTGGATATCATATTGACATTCTAGCTGTGATTGAACTTTGAAAATTAAAATTTAATTTTTCAGTGCAGGAGTCAACTTTGGCCACCACTCACTCTTTTCAGGCATAACATTTGATAACGGCACAAAAGCATTTGTAAACAAACTTTCTAATGCCCTTTACACGCGAACCAAAGTACGCTCACGCAAACCAATACCACTTTCGGAAAGGTGATAGTTGCCCCTATCCGATGATGTTGTTGGCCCAATTAGGCATCGTGCACAAATTACGTAACACATGAAGGGGGAAGGAGGGGGTATTGGGAAATGTTGCGTAACAAATTGTCCAAAGCTTAGCGGCGCCGGTTTTGTAGTGGTAAGCGTGATTACCTCTCACCCCTGCAGGCCTGGGTTCAATCCCAGTCGGCGCCGCCGAAATGTTCTGAGGCATAACATCTCTGATCACGCCTTCCTTCGGAAGTGAAGTAAGGCCGTTGGTCCCCGGTTCATGAGTTGATGGGTCTATAGGTAGGGTCCAGGTGTGGAAGCTGCCTCCCTGGTGTCGGTAGCATTGGTGCTCAGCACGGAAAACAAGATCGACGGAAAACAAATTAAGGAAAGTTCATTTTTAGACCATCACAAAAGTCGCAAAAATCGACAATTTTATTTTGTTTTCCACTCAATTGTGATAATAAATATATATTCACAAGTAAATTTTCTGACACACTAGAAACAATTTCAAACTTTCACCATCTACTGATTTTTTTGAAATTCACTCTACATTATTGTTGGTATTCTCATGAAACCTCGCACTTCAGTTTATTCTATGTATAAAATACTCTTGTTATATTCATAACAGTTTCTTTGGTAATTTCTTCAGATTTACCTATAAGCATTTTTCAGAAACCTTTTGAAATTCATTTCCGACCTACTATTGAAGTTTGCTATTAATTTTCTTGAAACTTTCCTCAGAACACTCCAGAAAATTTCCTCAGAACTTTGTAAAAATTCTTCTTAGAATGTAGCAAGGGTTCTCCTTAAAATTCCCTAATATTTAATAACATCCCATTGAAATTATCTTTCGAGCTAAAAATTTCTTTAGAACTTTAGCCAACATTATCAATCTTTGATGTGCAAGATTGTTAAAAAACAAGCTAGTTATAAGCACTTTGACAATATTTCGATATGTCAGATTCTTGGGAAAGTATAAGAGTCATTAGAGTTTCATGGAAGAGAAAAAATTCAAAGTTTCATATTGGATTTAAAGCACGAAATATTGTAAAATTTCAAAATCTGAATAATTATTCTCAGTCTTTGAACAAAAACCAAGAATCTTGAGGATTTCCATAGTCTGTAATTAGCAAGAAAAAATAGTGTTGCTTTTTTTCGAGTGTTCTGAAATAATGAATCTAACTTCAATCTGATTGGGAAACTCAAACAAATGTGGAAGATGAACATTAAAAAAAAAAGTTGACAAAAGCTAGTTAAACCACAGACAAACAGACATAACACATTGCATAGTTTTCACTGTAAAACATCGTCGCTAAAACATTACCGCCATCTGTTGAGTACACTGTGGTGGGCACTACGCTGAACAGATGGCGGTAGTGTGTAAACGTCAAACGCAAGGGAATTGACTATGCGCGCCACAGGTGGTGGTACTACCAACTACGATACTTTTAAATTGTCCGTTAAATGCTTGTTCGATGAACAACTTTCGAGTGTTATGTCTGTTTGTCTGTGGTTAAACTATAAATTTAAACTTTTTTCTAGATACATGAAATCAAGTTAGTATCTGAGTTAGGGGGCAGTTGCCCCCTGGCTACGCCTATGCCTTCAACTGATCGGAAAGTGAAATCGAGTTCTCCATATCAGTTCCATATCGAGTTCCTCATCATATCAAATGGATCAAAAATTATTCTCATGTCGAAAGCCTATTATTACATCATATCAGTTTTTTTTTCCTCTGGGACCTAACACTACTGCGACCAGTTATTTGATCTATTTTAGTATATCCAGTGTCCTTAGTTTATGTCGTATTACTCCATCACTATTGAGAAATGATTAAGTATTCGATTTTTTTTACAGTTGTCGTTCTTGTATTTATCGCAAGGATCCGACTATGCTTGAAAGGTCCCGCTATTTTTACCCTTCGGAGTATGGAAACACCCTCCAAAGGCACATCCCTTTGTCAGTAAAAATAGGATTCCTTAGCAACAAAATTGAGGAATGACACCGATAATGACCATGCATCAAAACCCTAGTCTCAAACACTTCAAACTAGAGAACAACGAATAGAACATTAGGAATCACATAGATGAAGACTAACTAACTCAGTTTTTCCTTGTTTCAAGATCATCCTCGGTGGACAAAGCCGAGTCTTGTCACTATCAATAAGGTATAAAAAGTAACAAGGACTAAGATGTGTTCCTTTGATTACTGAAAAATCATGTTCGCCTAGTTTGAAATAGTAAGGACTAGGAATCGGGGGTAGATCTTATATCCCGTATCAAACCACGAAAAGGTGATCTACCCACGTTATCAGGTTGATCAGGAATTCTTCTGAATTATCACAAATTATATCGAAAACCTTCGACTAATAGGAAATTGCAATCGAGTTCCTATATATTCCCGCATAATATCAAATTGATCAGGAATTCTTCTGAGTTATCAGAGATTATATCGAAGTAATTCGACTAATAGAAAAAATTTAAATAAAGTTCTCCATATATTTCTTTATCACGTTATCTTTAACTTATTATCATTAACTATTGTCGGAATATTATACGTTGTAACTAGGAGGGCTCTAAATTTTCGAAGCAGCCTATATCGTGACGTGACATGATATCAGCTATAGCCAGAACGTAGCATAAACTCGTTTGCGCCTTTCCAGTTAAAAACTGACTCCGCTTCTCGTAATCCAATTTCATTTGCGCCTTTTCCAGGTGACAGTACTTATTAAAAATTGTTTTTTGTTCGTTGTTGTTTGGTGCTAAGTAGTAGTCGAATATCTGTGACTATCCACCATCAAAGCACTGAATACGATTCAACGGGAAAATGAAAAAAAAAATAGAAAGAAAATCTCACTGGAACTTTAATGTTAACATAAAAATAACTATTGGAAAACTGGTCGGTTAGCTCACCTCGATCTACCCTTTTGTCATAGTACTTAATTAGAAATTTTCTCAGCTACAACTTTGCTAAAGACTAAAATAAATTTTAAGGTGACCGAAAAGCGATCCCCCTCTTCATTAGACACTGCTTCAAAATGTCTATTACAATTCTACCAAAAACTACTTACCGGACTTGCATCTCGCAGTAGGGAAGCCTTCTTCATGGTATTAGCATTATCTATGTTATTTATCACATCAAGTGTCGAAGTTGTCGACCGTGTTGTAGTTGTTGTCTTCGAAGTGGTACCGGTGCTCGTCAATTTCTCAGTCCTGTTTGGGTGTGGGTTGGCCAAACGTAGAGGTGGTTGCTCACTAACCGGGATGACATCGGGAAACTGGTAATAATTTTGTAGTCCCTCGTGATTCTTATTCATATTAGCTAGTTCCGATGAATCCGACTCACTCCCAGTCGGTGACATCATCATCAACGGGTGACTACTAACTGGCGTCAATCCACTATTGGTAATGCGGCTCCCCGTTTTCGAACTAAGCATATCATCCTGTATCGGCTCTTCATTGCGATTGTCAAAGTATTTATTTAGCACTCCATGTTGCTGATACGTTGTACTACTGCTGCAGCAGTTATCATTGGTGGCCGCTACAGTCGATCCCATTCCTTCAGGAGCAATGGTGATGTCACTACCACGATGACTCTGCTTGTATCCTCCATTACATTCTTCAACTTCTGGCGAATAACCGGGAGGCGAATCCTGAGATGTAGTTGTTTCCGATATGTCCATTTTGTTGTCCGATACTGGACTTTCCTCTAAGTTTTGACTGAAAATTGAAAGCAAAACGAAACATTTTTTGTTCATATTTTTTACATATATCTACCAATGTACATATGCAATAGCTTCAGGTAAAATTCCTTATTCAAGGACATCATGTGCAAATGATAAAACCTAATCAATTGATTCTGAAACCTTGATGTTTGTTTTTTGACAACATCACCATTCTAATAATTATTCATTTGAATTCAATCTATGATTTCAATCATGCGAGTCAAAAATTACAAAACCAAAGACATGTACACGAGCATACCTCATCTATAAATAGAGCGCTGCAGATATCGATGCTTGTCCTTTTCAGTAAACAGTCACTATATGATTTCCACCTTTTATGAATAGCACTCCTTCTATCAACGGTTTTATTAACATCTATCTATTTAGCGACAGCGTGGAAAACAAATTTTCACTAACAACTCATTGCATCTTAACATCCAATGTTTTCAATGCAAATGATTCATAAACAAAATGTATCAACTCGTACGCGTCCATTCAATCGAATGATCTTCACAGGTAGATATGTCATCGTCTTTTCGTTATCCTTTCCATTGACACTTTTCTCATTACGGCTAACACATAAGCGATGCTATGATACACATGTAGGTCTTTCTTGTATGTATTGTTTATGTTTAATGAACGTCAAACCGTATCGACCAGAACGCAGCCTGCATAAAAATGATGCTAAAATAGCATAACACTTTCAACACTGCCCTTCTGATGCCAGGTTCGGTAGTGCAATGAGCTATGCTCAAAAGATGTGTAAAGGAATTTCTAGGTATGAATCCATTGTATAATTTTTCATTTTGGTAGATGTGGCTATCCATTCATTTGAATTAGTAACCTATAAAAATGTACATTTTTTTTCTATTCTGAGAAAATTAAAAATTCTAAGAAATGCTGACACATGAAGAATTAAATAATATAACTTTAAAAAAATAGGGGTGTAGTGGTAAGCGTGATTACCTCTCACCCCGAAGGGCCTGGGTTCAATAACAGTCGGCACCACCGGGATGATCTGAGGCATAACATCTCTGATCACGCCTTCCTTCAGGGGAAGTAAAGCCGTTATGAGTTCATGAGTTGATGGGTCGATAGGTAGAGTCCAGGTGTGGGAGCTGCCTCCCTGGCGTCGGTAGCTTTGGTGCTCAGCATGAAAAACAAGGTCGAAGGAAAAACAAATCAAGGAAAAAAACTGTAAACTTTCATCAAAATAAGTGAAACATCTGGAATCCCACGCAGGAGTGCAGAAACTTCCACGGAATTGAGCAGTATATGCACTCCTGCATCGGCTTCCAGATGTTTCTCTGATTTTGAGCAAAAACATTCACTGACATTGCCTTTTGTTGAGCTCCAGACATGGACACGCAATCCGGCACACGAAGAGAGCCACAAACCGGCCGAACCAACAGGAAGCGCTAAATATGTTAATCTCCGTCCCCAAATAAAAATTACTACCAGTAAATAAACTTTATTGATGAATTTATTGAAAATCTCAGCAAAAACAAATGTAAACAAATAAATTACTGATAAAGATAGCAATTTCTTTATTGACTTGTAATTGTAATTGACAGTAATTTTTGACAGTTCAGAGATTCTGCGATTTACGGAGTTTTCAGTTAAAATAAAAACAAGTAATATCTAAACGGCTGGGAATCATTATATATCACCAATACTGCTGAACCATTGATGAATGAAGATGACACTTCCAGTATATCCTGACTTTTCAACCTGAATAATCTGAGAATCCAGTAGCTTCCCTTCTCTTCGTTATTCGCCTGGACACCAGTCCCGAAGTGACGTTTCTTCACACACATTTTGACAGTTACTTATGGGGTTTTGCGTTGGAGTGAGAGAATAAGAAAAAGTCCGCCATGTTTCACACATAGACTGACAGTTATATATGAGATTTCTCCATAGGAGTAAAGAGTTACAGAGCTCTCTTCAACGCCAATGGACGTGTACGGAGCAAAGTATGAATATCCAGAGTAACCAGTCGGACATTGTCCCGTAGATGGGCAGCATGACGCACAAAACCGGTCGACAGAAAGGTACATTTTAATTTATTTTAACGTTTTAAGAACGATAATGTGTTGTGTCTTGTCTCGCGTCGCGTCTTTTGAGTGACTATGAGGACTGTATCAAAAATAAGTTGCAATCAAATTTGTCATTACAAATCCACTAAAAATATTTTAAAATCATAAAAGGTTCTTCAATTATTTATGCCATGTCCTTCTCAAGAAGTTAACATCACAAAAACAAACAAAAACCGTTCTTTTAGGAACTTTTATGATCTTAGATTTAGGTCTTCTTATAAATGTTGGACAGTGTGACAAAACAGGTTTGTTACACTTTTTGTACACATCGTACAATATTTTTTATGTTGTTTCATTATCCTAGTAACTTTAGCATCCGCGGAAAAGGATATGATGAAAACACAACATTTTTCAATTGTTTTGGCCTAATTTGACATCAATTATGTTGAAATTCAACTTGTTTACAACTACAACCTATTGAATGTCGATTGCTGATGCTGAATGGCAATTGCAAAGAACAGCTTCAAAAGGATATTAAGTGTTCTAAAATCAAAACAGTAAAAAGTATACTGTAACGATGCGTTCAAAAACCACGAAAATGCACTGTCGGGAACCTTATAAGAGGAACTAAATCTAAAATAATACCAGTCGCTTAAAGAATATCTATTAATTTGTTTTTCTTTATTAAGATTTAAAGAAGGACACATGGTTGGTACACATAATCGAAGAACTTTTTTTTTTATAATTTTTTTTTTTTTTTTACGGTTTTAGAAGGAAATGTTTGCTTACAACTTATTTTCAATACAGTACTTAATATAAAAATAAAACCAACTTTTGTTTTCAAACAGTTCATTAATTCGTTAATCTAAACTCGAAAATCAATTTCTATTTGGACTCTGCCTTATAATGTTTCACCACTTCTTTCTTATTTAATATTTTCTCTTTTTAATAAAAATTTACCTACCATGAATCAGATTAGATAGACTTTAAAGAACATTTGAAGTCAAGCCTACGATAAGCTGTTCAAATATACATACAGGTGAGCATGGAGAATACCTAACGCATATGTATTATATAGCACTGTGTTTCATTCCGTAAAGCAACCATCAACTGGCCACACGGTTCAATGATGTTTTGTGTAGAAGGCAAAATGTGAAGAAAAAATGTCAATATATTTCACTCGCAACCTTTTGCACCAGGCAGAAGATGAAATAGATTTTTTCTACCTGTTTTCCAGTGGCTTATAAGATTGTTTGTAACGTGATTGACGCCAATTGAGTCGCTCTAAACAATAGTGCAATTGATTGTTCGGTAGATAACTTCGTACAATAGTGTTTTAGTGTGCTACTCTGCTCTAGATGCAATCAAATCTATATTCAGAAGATTCATTGTTCAGCTATTGGAATGAATTTGACGGAGGGCCAACCAACTATCCTCTGCCACCACATCCTCATCCTCATCCTCCTCCTCCGCCTATGATGGGCCCGCCATTCGATAACGGTATTTACAACTTTGTTCCGCCACCGGCCGGGATACCAATGTCCATGGGACCAATGATTTCAGGGCCTTGTCTCCCCAATCCTATGATGGGTCCGATACATCGAGGATATACCAGATTTCCACCCCCTTTGGCACCGCTTCAAGTCATACCACCACCATCTATACCACAGCCGCAACTACCGCCTCCTTTAATACCACCTACTCATCATTTCAACTTTCAACCACAACCACCTCAACAACAGTATCCGGTAGGTGTACCATCAGTGCCAGTACCAATAAATCTGGATTCAGTCATTGTACGAGCTCAAGTGAGTGATGCTGCTCCAGCAGAGGAAGTGGTGGTCAAAAATGGCCAAGTATTTCACATCAGTTTTTTGGACGATCCTGCAGAGCCTGAACATCCAACACATCCTACGCCTTCTAGTGAAGACGCGGAAAAAGATGAAGAACGAGATTGGATCAATTATGATGAATTGCCATTGTTGAAAAATGTCACAGGTGGAGAGGTCGAAAACGGAGTATTCAAATGCGGAATTTGCGCGAAAGAGCTGAAATCTGCATTGAATTTATACGTTCACGAACAAACGCACAAAACTACCCGGTTAGACTGCAAAATATGTGGAAAACGGTTCAATCGAATTGGCAAGCTAGAACACCATACCCGAAAGCACCATCCAGAATCAGCATCCGACGGAGTTGCCTCCCCAAATAGCTCATCCAGTACTCCAGTTCTGAACGACTTCAACAACTACTGTGTAGAATGTGAAGAGTTTTTTACCACAACCGACGAACTGCAAAGTCACATGGAACTAAATCACCGTCTTATTGACGACTCGAATTTTCCGAAAGGCTTGAAAAAATCGATCGGTTGTCCGTACTGTGACGAAACATTTGAGTGGCCCTGTCTGCTCAAAACTCACATGACCAAGCACACGGGAGAGAAGCCGTTTATCTGCGAGCGGTGCAATGTTTCGTTTCGATTCGTTCAAAGCTTCTATCGGCACAATCGGCGAGTTCATGGACGGGAGAAATAGGTTGTGCTCATACAGGAGACACTGTTAGAATAAGGTAAGTTGCTTACTGAAGTTTATGAAGTTCATTGTATATTTGATTCAATTTATCGTTTAATGATTTATTACAGAATAAAATACACAGAATTTCATCACGAAATTTAGTCACTAAACTATCATTACATTTGACGACGTAAATATTAGCTTCTAGTAAATTCGATGAGATTATCAACCTGGATGAAAAGGAGGAAGATGGTAAAATTCTTCATACGTGAGATTTGATATTTGAAATTGATGCAACATGATATTACCTACTTGTAACATAACACAAACCACTTATAACGAAAGCTACAAACAAATCAAACAAACAATGTTTAGGAATACGTAAAAATGTTGTCCACCAGCAAACATTATCTTCCATCAGCGGCATATAATTTGATTTCATTGCAATTTCAGTCTTGCCAGTGCGTTGCAAAACATATACGGAGATAGGCGATACTGATGCATAAATAGTTTTAAGAACAAAACCGAACGAAACCTTTACAGTTTTACTTAATCTGGTCTGTGTTACTGTTGTATACGTTTTTTTCTACATAGAAGAGGTATGTGTTATTTGATTTATTAAATTCAACTTTAAGTGAAACTGTTTACAAATGCGTTAAGAAACTCAGTTTTATTTGTTACCAACTGATTAGTGTAATACCCCCTTCTGATAGCATAAGATTTGAACAACGCTTTTACCACCCATAAAGCGCACAGCAGTCACAATATGAAAAACACAAATATGGGATGCGTGAAAAATGATATGGAGGTATTTATTTATTAATTCAAAACGGGCCACTAGTATTGTTTAATGCAGTCGAAGCAGCTGAAAATGGAATGTTCTTCCTTACTTTATTGATATTTCATCTCCAACCGAAAAATCCTATTGTCTCCCTGCTAATAAAGTACACTGTATAAGAAATAATTTATTTTAATAATCCGAAATTTACAAACACATCATTTCTTTCAAAATAACAACATAATTTCTATTTGTACACCAATTTTTTATTTCAGCCATCATTGTGTAATCAACCTTCAGCTCTCGCAAGAATGAATACTTCTAATGTGCACCTTGAGGTAGTAAGCTCTTGTGAATTGCTTTGGACACATTGGGCACGGATGTGGACGTTCCTTAGTATGTTTTATTATATGCATTTTCAACTCATTGCTGCAATGGGAAAAATAAACCTAAAACTAAATAAATCTTTATTTTCTCATTTGTTAAAAAAAAACCTACCTAAACTTGAACATCATTCCACATTCCTGGCACTCCTTTGTCTTAACATTGGAATGAGCTGATTTTAAGTGTTGGGTCAAGCTTTGCTTCAAAGCATACCCCTTGCCACATATCGAGCATATTTGATTCCGCTCATCAGAATGCATAATTTTCCTGTGCTTACCGAGGGTATCTGTTCTATCGAAAATCTTTCCACATATATCACATGGATAGATCAACTCTCTAGTATGCGTGTTAACATGTTTCCTTAGATTGTTCAAATCGGTAAAATCTTTATCACAGTGAATGCACGGAAAGCGAGCTTTGGCTTGTTTATGTATTGCCATGTGAACCATTATGTTATTCTTACTGATCATTTTCCCACACTCTGTACAGGAGATTTTTTGAGTTTTCGACTTGTCTTCGAGGAGATCATTGCACATCGCGTCCATATTTTCCGGTTCAATTTCTTGGCCTTCAATCTCCAATTTAATCTTACGTAGTTCCTCGGATGGGTCAACTTCTGTATTGACATTACTATCATCTTCAGCAAAACAGAATTGATGTTGCTCTCGGAAGACTACATCGTTTTTCAGACATTTCTGTTTAAATTGGTCGAAACTGTCCAAGAATATTTTACATATAAAGCACATGAAGTAGTCTTGAAGTGAATCATTCAAAATCTAAAATTACAGTCCGCATCGTGCTCTCTTGCCGTGCGGATCTATTTGCTTTTTGCTGAAGGAAGTGTTACTACTACCTAAAGCTACAACAAATTTAAACAGCACTTTTCAGTGCTCAACCTGTAAAAATTTTCTACCTTGTTCAACTCTTATTCCTCTTCGATCCTTGTTTGGACCCTACCCGAGGTAATCCTTCTTGGATATCGATTTGGAAAATTCCTCTTCGATCCTTCAGATTCTTATAGTAATCTGCTTGGAAGTCGATTTGGATAAAAATTTACTGCCGCCATGGCGCCTAAACGCAAAAGAAAGGGGCAAACTCTTGACCCCCCTTCTGATGAAATTAATTTGAGTAATCAATTTGATTTGCTCACGGATGATGAGAATGATCCATCATCCAAGAAAAATTCTAGTAAACTTTCCCGGCTTAATGCCAAGAAGGAAAAGATTCCCCCTATTGTGATAACCACTACCGATTTCCATGCTCTTCGCATGGAACTTTTGAATTTCGTGAAAGTTAAGTTTTCACTACAAATTGGACGTCGGGGTGAATGCCGTGTATTGGCTGAAACCTTGGACGGATTTAAATGTCTTCTCAAGTATCTTACTGAGAAGAAGCACAAATTTTTTACTTACGACACCAAAACTGAACGTGTGTTCAAGGTTGTCATGAAAGGACTGCCCAGTGGTGAATCCCTGGATCAGATCAAAGATGAACTGGCAAAATTACTTGGAGTTGTGCCACTCCAAGTAATCAAAATGAAAATGAAATCCCGTCCTGGCGATTCGCGCAACGGGATTTCTAATGATTTTTATTTAGTTCACTTCAAGTCTAGTGAACTAAACAACCTTAAGGCCTTAGAAAAAGCTAGCCTTATGCTCCATGTCCGAGTGAAGTGGGAACACTTCAGGAAGACTGGAGGAAATTTCCAAAACCTCACCCAGTGCCGTAAGTGCCAGGGATGGGGTCACGGAACTAAAAATTGCTACATGCCAGCTAAATGCATGAATTGTGGTGATTCCTCTCACGCAAAGGACGACTGTCCTGTGAAGGAAGATCCTAAGAAATTTAAATGTTCAAATTGTGGTGAAAACCACAAATCCAATTTTTGGGAATGTAAGACTCGCAAAGCGATCCTACAATCTCGTTCTAACCGTCAGGTAGGAAACGCTCCACGTTTCCGACCAGGTACAAATTCCTCTGCTGTTAACAACGGTCAGCGAGGAACAAATTCTACATTCGTACCCGTAGGTACAAATATCTCCCCTGCTTCAAATGTTTCATCTGTACCTACTCCCCTCGCTGCTAACAATGTTCAGCGAGTTAATGGAGCTACCTATGCTGCTATTGCAGCGGGTAGAAATCAAAATACTAACCAACGTTCTAACGGAAATTTTGACAATTTTGACTTAGGAAGCATTACTGCCCCCAAAATGGAATTTTTACAGAATTCATTAATTGACATGATTTCTGATATGCTTAAATCTAACTCCATGTTTGATGCTATTCAAACTGGAGTAAAATTTGCAAATAATATTGTCATGACTTTAAAATTCAGTAATGGATTTTAAAGCATTAAATATTGTAAATTGGAATGCTCGATCTCTTAAAGATAATGAAGACGAGCTATTTAACTTTTTACGAGTTCATAACGTGCATATTGCCGTTATAACTGAAACGTTCCTTAAACCTGCCCATAAGGTTAAGAAGGACGCAAATTACTTGATTTATAGAAATGATCGTCTTGATGGACCCTGTGGTGGCGTTGCCATCATTATTCATAGACAAATCAAACATAAAATTCTTTCTTCTTTTGAAACCAAAGTTTTTGAAACTTTGGGAGTTTCTGTTGAAACAAAATTTGGACAACTTACGTTTATAGCTGCCTATTTGCCATTCCAATGCGTAGGCCAGCAAAAGAATTTTCTCAAGGGTGACCTCCAGAAACTTACCCGTCATAGGTCTAAATTCTTCATTATTGGTGATTTTAATGCAAAACACCGCTCATGGAATAATGCTCAAAGCAATTCCAATGGTAATATTCTGTTTGATGATTGTTCTGCAGGTTATTACACTATTCAATATCCAAACAGCCCAACATGCTTTTCTTCTGCAAGAAATCCCTCCACTATTGATTTGGTCTTAACTGATTCATGTCAACTTTGTAGCCAATTGGTTACCCATGCTGACTTCGGTTCTGATCACCTTCCAGTAACTTTTGAAATATCCCAAGAAATAATTTGTAATCCCAACAGCTCTACTTTCAATTACCATAGAGCTGATTGGGAGCAGTATCGAACATTTATGGAATATAACTTCGATCCAAACATTCATTTGCAAACCAAAGATGAAATTAATTACGCTCTTGAATCTCTGACTACTTCTATAGTTGAAGCAAGAGCTGCCTCAGTACCAAAATGCGAGGTTAAATTCGATTCAATTATAATAGACGATGATCTTCAGCTCTTGATCCGTCTTAAAAATGTCCGTAGGAGACAATATCAAAGAACACGCGATCCTGCCATGAAAGTTATCTGGCGGGATTTGCAAAAACAAATTAAAAAGCGATTCTCTGCCCTGAGGAACAAAACTTTTGAAAATAATATTTCTAAATTAGACCCGAGTTCCAAACCCTTTTGGAAACTCACAAAAATTTTGAAAAAACCTCAAAAGCCTATTCCAGCGCTTAAAGAAGGTGGTAAAATTTTGATCACAAATTTGGAAAAAGCTCAGAAACTTGCTAAGCAATTCGAGAGTTCCCATAATTTCAGTTTGGGTCTTACTAGTCCTATTGAGAATCAGGTTGCTCGGGATTTTCTGAATATTTTCTCTCGGGAAAATATTTTTGATGATTCCTGGGGGACTGATTTGGACGAAGTAAGGTCTATAACTAAAAATTTTCAAAATATGAAAGCTCCAGGTGATGATGGAATTTTCTATATCCTTATCAAAAAACTCCCAGAGAGTACCTTGTCTTTCTTGGTAAAATTATTTAACAGATGTTTCCATTTGGCATACTTTCCTGATAAATGGAAAAATGCAAAAGTTGTTCCAATTTTGAAGCCGGATAAAAATCCAGCTGAAGCTTCTAGCTACCGTCCAATAAGTTTGCTTTCTTCAATAAGTAAACTTTTTGAAAAAATAATTTTGAATAGAATGATGCTTCACATCAATACGAACTCAATTTTTGCAGATGAGCAGTTTGGATTTCGCCATGGGCATTCAACTACTCATCAACTCTTGAGAGTTACCAATTTAATTCGTTCAAACAAATCTGAAGGCCACTCAACTGGAGTTGCTCTTCTAGACATAGAAAAAGCATTCGACAGTGTTTGGCATGAAGGTTTGATTGCTAAATTGAAAAAGTTTAATTTTCCACTTTATATTATTAAATTAGTTCAAAATTATTTAACTGACAGAACTCTGCAGGTAAATTATCAAAATTCCAAATCTAATCGACTACCTGTTAGAGCAGGAGTTCCTCAGGGTAGCATTCTTGGGCCTATATTGTATAACATTTTCACTTCGGACCTCCCTGATTTGCCTCAGGGTTGCCACAAATCTTTGTTCGCTGATGACACAGGCATTTCCGCTAAAGGAAGAAGTCTTCGTGTTATTTGCAGCAGACTGCAGAAAAGTTTAGATATTTTCTCTTCTTATTTACAAAAATGGAAGATTTCTCCCAACGCTTCCAAAACTCAACTTATAATATTTCCACATAAGCCTAGAGCTTCGTTTTTGAAACCTAGTAGTAGTCACATAGTCACTATGAACGGAGTTCCAATTTCCTGGTCAAACCAAGTGAAATATCTTGGATTAATACTTGACCAAAAATTAACTTTTAAAGATCACATTGAGGGCATTCAAGCTAAATGTAACAAATATATTAAATGTTTGTATCCTCTTATAAACAGGAAATCCAAACTTTGCCTGACGAATAAACTTCTAATATTTAAACAAGTTTTTAGACCGGCCATGCTTTACGCTGTGCCAATATGGTCTAGTTGCTGCACTACCAGGAAAAAAGCACTTCAAAGGATTCAGAACAAAATTCTGAAAATGATTTTGAAGTTGCCTCCCTGGTACAGTACTACCGAAGTACATAGAATTTCGAATGTTGAGACTTTAGCACAAATGTCCAACAAAATAATTAATAATTTCAGGCAAAAATCGTTGCAATCCTCAATTAATTTACAAACAAAATTTAGTTTTAGTTTTTAGTTTTAAGATATCAATTGTTATACTGACATGCAGGTTAAAAAACCTGTTTAAAATACTGAATTGCCAAGACATGAACAATGTAAAAACACTTAGATATATATCATAACAATTAAGGCTGGTACGTTACTGCAGTAACTGGAGCACCTAGGTTAAAATGAAATGTAATTTATTTTGAATTTGGAACAAATAAAGAGTTAAAAAAAAAAAATAAAAAAAAAAAAAAAAAAATCTAAAATTAAAAAAAAAAAGTATTATCAACATCGTAAAACAGTGCAAGCAATATTAATTAATAACGTTATGTCATTAGAAACTACATATTGAGGAAGATAATTTCAAACAAATAACTTAAGAAAAAAATTGCTATTTTCTGGCCTATGTTCAAGAATCAAAACGTGGCGTAAAAATGAATTGATGATTATCTCTAGTGCATGTGAAAAGCTGACGATTGTTGAAAATGCACCATGCGATTATTTCAAGTTTTCTAATAATTGTATTAGTCAGAACTCCAAGGGTGCAAAGTGCGTAGCGATGTTGTGTCACAATCTATGTAGAGTTACGCTCTTGCCTTGACCTGGGTCCAGGTCAGATAGCTGTCGACATCCTTTATGTCCATGACCATCTGGGTCTACCTCTGCTGCGATGTCCTGCCATGTCCTAATCGAGCCCTTGCTTGCAGATTTCATTGCCACCTCACCGTAGTTTGTGGTTGACCTGCCTCCACTTACGTTCTCGAATATATGATATCGGCTTTTGATGACATCGACTATGGAGCTCAGCATTCGAGATCCAATTGTTAGGCCATTATACACTTCATATACTTGTAAAAACAGCCCTAACCTATGTCGCTCTTGGTCCCACCGTCTGACGCTATCCGGGACTCCTTTGCGTCTCACGGTGTCTTACAGATTGTTATGATTCAGTTAGTTGAAAGCTTTTTCGTAGTCAATGAATACCAAATAGAGGGACTCTTGGAATTCGTTGACCTGCTCCAGGGCGATGTGGAGCGTGACAATATGGTTCACACAAAGTCTTCCGGCACGAAATCCTGCCTGCCACCGCCACCGAAGGGTCGCGTCGATCTTCTCCTGTATCCGATTCAGAATAACTTTGCACAAAACTTTGGGAACAATGCACAGCCTCGCCAATTGTCGCACACAGTCAGATCCCCTTCTTAGAGACTTTTACTACCCTAATAAAATTGATTATTTTGTTTAAGAACGTGTTCAGGGTATCATCCAAACAATTTGTGAAATAGTTCAATCATTTGGATTATCGGTCGGGTATGGTATTTTTTATTAGGGAAAAACGCCTTGCATCATCTAGTAGGCCGGAAAAGCCAAGGTGTCCCAGATGCAGATAGCAATCCAAGCAGGAGAAAATAACTAATGAATACCTAATTCTGATCTGATACCAAAATTTGGTGTTGATCAGCGTGACATAAGAGGTAAAATACCAAATAATAATACCAAAAAAATGCATGCAAAATACTTTATAAATAACAAAAATTAATATTTGGATACCAAAAGAATACCTGTGCAGTACTGTTTTGGTATTGCATGTGCTTAATTTGGTTTTAGAATGGTGTCAGGCTCATCCATATCAATTTAAAGTATCGAGATATTCGTTCCTGCTCGGGATGTGGTCAGCTTTGAGCATCTCTGCGAACCGACCCAGAGAACCTTGTTGGATTTCATGCTTCATAACTGCTTAGATCTCTTGCAGTGATGGTGCCTCGGAGTTCACACTGCACCTTGGTGGATCATGCTAAGATGTTGATGGCTGGTTGGGCGTCAAACCTGAAGAAGTTGTTCAAAGTGCTCAAACCAACGTTTCAGATGGGGTCGGTAAGTATCCAATCGTGTCTTTCACTGGCATCTTCGGATTCATCCTTACTCCACTCAGGTGTCATGAGATATCGTAGAAGAAGCGGATATTGTCAATTGTAGCGAGTTTCCCCCCTTCGTCAGCCAGGGAGTCCCCCCACGATCGCTTGTCCCATCTGCAAGAGCGTTTGACTTCCTTCTCTAGAGCCGAATACCGTTGAAAGGCTTCGTTATTGGCTCCTCTGGTTCTAGCATGCTTTATCACGGCTTTTGCTTCTCTATGCCCCTCAATCTTCCGCCAGATTTCATCAGTGATCCACTCTTTTCGTTGAGTACGTAGCTCACCCAGATTGTTCTCATTGTCCCGATAAAGAAATTCTTGATGACCGTTCACTGTTCTTCTACGCTGCCACCTTTTGGAACATTCGCTGCTCGAGTCTCAAGTTCTGAAACGAACGATCTTTTCACAGCAGGATCTTTTAGCCGGCATGTGTTGAATCGCCGTCCGAGCCTCTCCTCTCGCCGCTATATCCGTGCAATGCGTAGGCCGATCACATCGATCACACGAAAATTTTGCGAACAGACTTCCGTTCTCGCTCATTTCTCCAGACCATAGCGTCCCATCGCAAGTAACATTGGAAGTTTTATCGAGGTTTTAAAGAATGCTATAAGTCTAAATCATAATACACAGAACCCTCATAAAACCAAGTTTATAAGCACGATACAAATTTTTATTTTACTTTAGTCACTTTTCCATTTAAAAAATGGCTCGGGGGCGTAAGAAATTTTTTGACAGCACCCAACCACAGTCGCCACATTAAAGCAATTTATGAAACGCTTCTGATCAGACTTATAGATCATGACAATTTATCTTCACTTTTGGCAGTTCTATGAGCTTGTTAGAATCTTAGAATTTGGAATAAAATATAGAAAATTGCGTTCTGATCACCTGTTACTTTTGTAAAATGTCCACTAGAAACACTTCAATCCTTTATCGATTTTAGAGTAGAAACACTGATGGCGTATCCACCGAAACAATTAAACCAAGTCTCGATTTAATTCCAAAACAGTGCTGTAAACTATTTAGTTTCTAGCAGGGTTGCTTCCACTCACTTGCTATAAAAAATTGTTTTTCAGAATTATGAGATCGTTGTATAATATAATTATATGTTGTACTTGTACGTAGCTAGAAAATGGTGTAAAGTATGTGTTTGACTCATAAAACTTGTCAATTTAACTTTCAGAGCGTCACAATCAGCGATCTTATGATTCGTGAGCGTTCACTCAGAGTGAGCGTCCACGAATCGTAAAATTGCTGATTGTGGCGCACTGAAAGCAATATTGACAGATTTGTTGTGTCAAACAAATACTTCACGACCTCTTCTTGTAACTTACAAGTAGTAATTATCATTATAACATCTTATGACTTAATAATTCTGAAAAACGTTTTTTTTTATAGAAAGTGAGTGGAAGGAACCCTGGTTTCTAACAAAGTCAAGATTCTGAAACATAAAATATGTATAATAATGGACCACTTTGTCAAGCAATTTTGGTGTTTCTTTCTACCAGCGGTTCCACAGAACTTAACCAACTAATTACTATTTTGTATAAAACAAACAAATTGTTCTGAAAAAATCTAAAAATATTGTTATGTTTCGAAGTTCGAGTGGTAGTAAACATTCTTTTTACTTGCTCGAATTAAGTGATTAATTATCGAATGCGTATTTTTGGCTTGAAAATAAAACTAAATAAATTTTGCTTCGCGTATTTACGATTTTGAAAACATGTTTGAAGCAGAAATTCCTCAAAAAACCTTTCAATGCGATTAGTGAAGCATTTCCAGAGCTATTAGGCAATTTATATTCATAAATGCTTTCCTTGTAATAAGTTTTTTTTTTATAATGCACCTCAGAGCCCAATTGTTGCACGTATCATTTGCATTGAAATTCTATTATTGCACACCCACAAAATACAGTTAAATGCATCTTAAAATGAATGCTTTCAGAAAGAAGAATCATTCAACGATTCTTCTAGATAGTTAAACGTAACTATTCGGTATAGTGCACTTACGATATAAGTTATTTTATTGATTGTATTGAACCAGTCAACAATAGAAGTAAAATATTGCAGCAGCTGTTTTATATAAAACGTTGCATACCTTTAGGCGTTATCTCCATAAACAATAATCTAGGACCAATAGTCCAAATGTGATCCAATTATTGAACATAATTACTTTTTCTGTAAATTTCGCATGACTGATAGATGCAATTCAGCGACAGATAAAATATTAACCAACATTTTCCTGCAAATTAGGAGCGCCGGTGGTGTAGCGGTGAGCGTGATTGCCTCTCACCCCAGCAGGCCTGGGTTCAATCCCAGTCGGTGCCGCCGGGATGTTTGAGGCATAACATCTCTGATCACGCCTTCCTTCGCAAGGGAAGTAAAGCCGTTGGTCTCCGGTTCATGAGTTGATGGGTCGATAGGTAGAGTCCAGGTGAAGGAGCTGCCTCCCTGACTTCGGTAGCATTTTGTGCTCATCACGGAAAACAACATCGACGGAAAACAAATCAAGGAAAAAATGTTCCTGCAATGATTAATTAATTTAATTGCGTTGTGGGCTAGCAATAGCTTATTTTACAACTGAGGATTATTAGCAGAAATCATATGCTCAATTTCAAAAATACTTAGAACATGTTTTATCGCAATATTTCCTATACTGAATATCAAAAGCAGATGTTTAATAATTCAACAATTGATCACTGATTAGCATGTCTCCATGCTTGGTGAACTTTATGGTCATAGCATAAATGCTGCACAGTAAAAAATGTGAAGTGTGCAACAATTGGCAAATTGCCCTATATTATTGTTTTGAAACGGCCTAATTGGAGTATTTATTCTTCACTAAAAAAAATACAATCAAATTTTTACTTACACATGCTTTATGTATATATTCCGAAGTATGTAGAACTCTGTGTTTTAAATAATATGGATTGTATAATTGTTATGTATAATAAAAATAAGATGTTTGTGGTTTTTTAATATTATAGTTATATTATAGTTGCTCTTGGGTCATTCGTGACTTCATAAAATTTGTTACTTAAGGGCCACCCGGCACCCACATTGCATACGTTTGCGTTGCGTTGACGTAAATTGGGCATGGGTTAACTGTCAAACCCACGTAAACGCAAACACAACGTATCTATTGTACGTCGTCCTTTAGCCTCACATATCTCTAAAACGGCTTTTATTTACCTCGATTGACAAAACATCACTTATCAACTTCGAGTATTTTTCATTTTCATTCAAAATCACAGCATCCAACGTATACTCCAGGCTGTCAAGACACAGTCTGCAGCAAATACTTTTGTATTGCGTTTGCATTATAGTTTATGTCTAGAACAACAAACAATAATAACTGAATATACACTTCAACCACTCAGATTAGGAAACAATTAAATAGGTTCTGTTTTTGTTATTTGATATGATCACACCCTTCAGAAATTTTGGTCGGCCAAGTTTGACACATTAAAGAAAATATTTACTGCAACAAGGTCGTAGATTATAGGTAGATATAGGTTTGTTGGTATTGTTATATCACTTTATAACATATGTGTTAAATTACAGACGGCATTCGAATATTGTAGTAAAAGCACTACGCAAATGTTGCTACTGCCAAAAATTGCTGTTCATGTTGTTGTTAATTTTTAGAAGTACATCTTGAAAATTTCACAGAAGAGAGCATTTTTCATAAACTTTTTAATGAAAATATATTCAAATTAATGAAGAAATTTTATTTTTGGTTATATTCAAGTGTTTAAACATTTTGTTGAATTTTTTACCCAAAATAACTTTAATATACTGAGTTTATTTTTCTGAAAAGCATTTATTTTTTTAACACTTTATCTCAGATGTCATGACGTCAATAGGAAGGCGTTTTATACTTAGGATTTGTTATAATTATGCACAGTTTCATGCAAATCGGAGAAGGTCGCATCAGATCGATTCGTCATTTGGCGTGGAACCAACAATCAATACGAAACTAACGATTTTAAACTGGCTCACCACTTTAGTAGCCAATTGGTCCCAAGCAAACGATTAACGTACCCTATTCTAGTTGAAATTCTATTACTACACTATGTTTGTTTTGATTCGCTATGAAAGTTTGACAGATAACATCAGGGGTGTGTGGATTTATGCAGAACATGCAGGGGTGAGTGAAATAGCTCGGGACTGCTTGGGACCGTTGTTCTGGTACTGAGTGAGCCAAAAATAATAATGATTTTCTTCGTGACCCAGTGGTCTTAGAGTTACCTCTATGGTGGAACTGTCCACCTCGAGGTCCACCGCCTCTGTTGCCTAGTTGTTGCTGTCCAACGGTGCCAGACACTATACCACCTGTCATTCGAGCTGATATAGCTCTGTTCTTCGTCTTGTTGTCGTATTTCTTCGTTTTGTTTATGTTTTTCGTTCTGTTATTGGTATATTGGCTGCTTCCTAATATGAACCGGCCAATGTGTGTCTTACCTAGTCAAACGAACTGCCAAAAAGTGTATCACCCATTTAATTGAAACAGAGAGCAAGAGATTGGTTCTCGGATTACTTACCTTACCAATCAGGCTAAGACCTTGTTGTCCTCTGCTGTCCGAAGAAGTCGTCTCCACTCTACTCGATGGCCACAGTTCGCCAGCCTCGTAGTCTGCGAAGGGTCCGCAGGTCACCTTCTACTTGGTCGATCCACCTTGCCCGCTGCGCGCCTCTTCTTCTTGTTCCTGTTGGGGTGCTTTCTAGAACCATTTTCACTGGGTCGTCATGCGGCATTCTTACGACGTGCACAGCCCACCGTAGTCACCCAATTTTTGCAATGTAGACGATGGATGGTTCTCCCAGCAGCTAGTGTAATTCGTGGTTCATTCGCCTCCTCCACGTTCCGTCATCCATCTGCACTCCACCGCAACACCTTCCGTTCGAAAACACCAAGGGCGCGTTGGTCTCCACGAGCATAGTCCAGGTCTTGTGGCCGTAGAGGACCACCGGTCTAATCAGCGTCTTGTAGACAGTCAACTTCGGGGGGCGGCGAATTTTATTCGACCAGAGCGTCCTCCGGAATCCAAAGTAGACACGATTCCCTGCCATAATGCGTCTTTGAATTTCTCTGCTGGTATCAGCCCAAATACACGAGCTCAAAGGCCACTTCGATTTCGTCACTGTCAATCTAAACTCGGGGTGGGAGGGTGTGAATCGCGAAAATTTGGTCCGTGTTAGCGCGGGCACCCATGAATCCCGCCTGGTATTGCCCCACGAACTCTCTTGCAAATGGTGACTGGCGGCCGCATAGATTTGGGAGAGTACCTCGGCGGCGCTCAGCAGTGTGATCGCGAGGTAGTTGCAGCAATCCAACTTGTCGCCCTTTTTGTAGATTGGGCATACGACACCTTCCATCCACTCCTCCGGTAATATTTCCTCCTCTCAAATCTTGGCAAAACTTTTTGAGGATCAGGGGCTGGTACCCGAGCAATTTCGGTTAGCAAAATGAAAGCAAATCGATATTAAAGTGTGCAGTTCCTATCATAATGAAAATTCATTTTGATTTCAAATGTTGCGACATAAGTCTGATATCATATTGTGCTTTCATTATGCAGTCAAGACTTTTTAAATGAAAGCAACTTAACTTGAAGTTCTGCTGTTTACGTCTTGTTTAAAATTTAATTGAAATTCATCTGCCGTTTAACTAATGATATTGTTCATTTGATTTGTTTAACACACCCCTCACCATACCTCCGTTCTGTGTCAGAATTTCCTCTCACTAAGTATGAGATTTTGTTCGCATCTCTCTATTATCACTTCTGCCACGCTCCACTTTAATTTAGTTTAACTCAAATTGAGTGTTTCATTACTTGACTCACCTCTCAAGTTTTTATTTATTTCATTATTATTATTCCACATCAACTCTATCTAGCACATAGATAAGTCGTTATATTTTACATACGGTACGTTTAGTTTTTATCACATTTTGCCCTCAAAAGCCCAGGGTAATTAATAAGTGTCCACGAACATAAAAGTGGCGACGAGTAGGAAACGATTCCCTTCACATTTTTCTCTTTCGCGTGCGATTTAGTGCAAGTGAAACGCACAGTACTATCCGTGCAATAAAAAGAAAAGAAAAAGAAGAGGAAGAAAAGGGTATCAGCAGCAGCGGGTGTATACTGTTGTATACGCGGCGGGTGAAGTGTTCTTCAAGCGGAGAGATATTTTCGTTCCCAGGAGGGACTAAACTAGTCAGTCGAGGTAAAAGTCTTCCGGGTTTCAGCGGAGGTAAAATAACCGTTCGGCAGGTAAATTCCAACTGGATAGTGGCAGATAAATCAATCCGGAGTGACCATATCACGAGGGGTAACTGAACGGAGGGTTCCAGTGATCGATAAAACTCAACGTAGTAAAGCACAACATACTTTGCGAATCTACTCCGGTGCCAGGGTATCCGGCGCGTGTTTGAGAAGGTCGGCAAGGACATTTTGTTTTCGGTCGGTACAAATTGGAAGCGTAGGCGCGATGGCGCATCGTTCACAAATTAGACCTTACCGAGAGGTCTTCTGGGAGTACCCGAATATTATAGTCACAGTGAAAACACGCCTATGACAGTTACAAACTGCGAGCCGGACAGTACCACGAGGGTGGAGGTCAGTGACAGTAGAGCAGACGACATCGGTAGTGAGGAGTTGAAGGCCCCGAGTGGGGGAAGAAAAAGGAAACATCAGGAGGTGCCAGTGACAGAGGAACACAGAAGGTCGAAGAGAAATAAGAAGGAGAAGAAACTGGAAGACTTCTGTTATGATTATCAATATGAATATTTAAAATGGATTGTGGTTGACGAAGGTCAAATTTTGAATTGTTAACCTGTTTAAAAGGGGAAGAATTGTGGCATACCGGCGCATTTAACACAGCACCAAACTGTCAAGTGACCGTGCGATGTTTTGTTTACGCCTAACTGGCAGCATAAAAGAATGCACTGAATATACGGGAGGGTCAGTTGACTCGGAAACTTAAAGTAGACAAGTCGTTATATTTTACATACGGTACAATTAGTTTTTATCACATTTTCCCTTCAAAAGTCCAGGGTAATTAATTAGTGTCCACGAACATAAAAGATTCAAAAATAATGTCGATTTTTTTTTATGTTTTGTTTTCTTTTTGCAACAAACAGAATTGCAATTGAATTTCTGAGGCATTAAATCACTGTAAAGCCGTTTCTCCCCGGTTCATGAGTTGATGAGTCGATATGTAGGGTCCAAGTGTGGGAGCTGCCTTCCTGGCGTCGGAAACATTGGTACTTAGTACGGAAAACAACATCGACGGAAAAAAACAGAAAAATTGATTATATTTAGCAACTTGCCGCTCGAACTGCAGCATACTTACTTACCTCATGTCTCAAGGTTTTCGGAAACCTTGCACTTATTTCCCGAAATTCACAATAAAAAACAATACTTACGTGGAACGCGGTAAAGAGCTGAATCAAACGAGAAAAGTTTTGTTATTGTTTGCATTTTTGTCCAGGTGAAAACGAGGGAATGGTTGGTAGTTATTTTTGCATTCATCGCCCGGGGAATGGACACAGCAAATAAATGCTAAATTAAAATTAACTATTGTTGGCTTAATAATAGAATATTGTTATTTTTACAATAGTTGCAGTTGAAAAGTGGCTTATTAAAACAAAAAGGATCCTATTTTGAATGTATATGAATAAGTATTATTGAAACAACAAAATGCAATATAATTTCAACCGGCATTGTTTATTTAAATACAACTTAAGTTGGTTCAATGCAAACAATTTTATGTCCGTGCATCAGTTTAACACGCAATTGACAACACACTTAGATTGTTTTGCCAAGATGGGCCCCACCGAACAGCCTGGCATTTTATTTTGCTGGATCACAGTGAAAAACTTGCCGAGATTCAGCTAACAAACGGGAATTTTGCCGAGATCTCAGCTGCCCGAGCTACTCGGTGGTGCCCAACTCGGCAATAGATTCTACACTTGTGTGTAAACATGCTCAAAATATGTGATAAAGATTAGTACATCTATTATTCAGTATGTAACTTAATATAATCATCATGAAGGCGTTGCTTCCATTGTTTCATACTAGCACTAGGTGGATAAACCTAGGTTTTTTTTCAACACATAATGACGGTAAAATTCAAAGCAAAAGATACTTTGAGACGAAGAACCTGTAATTCAAAATATATTCATACAAGAGAACTTTCTCAAACAACAAAATTAAGCACTTAGTTATGTGTGTTTGTGTAATACTTCAGTGTTTTATTCTTTTGATTAATAATTATCATTCAATATACTCTCACTGTCATAGTTTAGTGCGTTTTATCAAGAAATTCTTCATCTTTCCTACAAAAAAAAGTCTCTGTGCTGGGTAAGAATACCATGTGACTGACTTACTTGCTGTTGTCCACCTGGCAAAATGTGTTACCGGCTTACATAGTTTTTTCCTGATGAATTAATAAGTAGATATTAATGTATGGTTGAGAACTTCAATTTTACTTCCAAAATGGAATACCATCAAACAGAAAGACTAGCCACAGAAATGTTGCAGCGTTTTACCTATACTTCTAAATTCATTTTTTTTATGAATAAAAAAACAGAAGTAGTATAGAACATTATGTATACCCTAAATACTCATTTTAAGACTATCCTGTTTGTGTTTTCCTTTATTTCACGTATATTAAGTCTTTCCTATATGAGTACCCCCTCGCTGCGGTCTTACAGTTCTAGCAGAAGCACCTCCTCATGCTATACAGAGTTGGCTAGTTTGCTTGTGTCCATCATGCGATCATCATACAGCGAGAGGGTCTTGGATGCTCGAACCTTCCGTACCGAAGGCGGTACATCGCCGGGAGTCTTGACCCGTTGACTTGGGTTACGCAATCGTTCAATGCTGCCTTTGGGTCCGAAAACTTCGTGGAATACTTCCAACGAACGCTGACGTTTCATAAATTTACTGTCCTCCGATCCTTGATCGCTCAGGCTTGATCTACTAGAATTGAGATTTTTTACTGCATTCGCCGACTTTGACACCACAATACGAAGTTTTGGGTTAGGTGAGTTTGATTGGATCATGGTGAAGGGTTGACTTGTAAAATCATCAGCGAGGGTTTTGAATTTGGAGCTCTCGTTAGCGGATCGTATGAGATTATGCTCGTAGCGACCGCTACCAGAGGAGAGATCAAGATTGGTTGGGCGTTCAACTGTTCGCTTTTCAATGTCATTATCTGCAGAGTTTATCATATTTATGTGAAGGCTTGTTGCATTCGTATGGACTAGATCTGATGGATAATTTTCTAAATTTACAGTATAAGTGAGAGAATTTACGACTAGATTTGATTTATCGTCACAATCCTGCTGGACGTAAGGTTGAGATTTCTGAAAGGTTTTCTGAAGCATAGCTCTGACGCTATTCAAGCCTCTTATTTTGCGTTGCGTTTCGTTGTTGTCCAATTTTGGTAGACCACGAGGATTACTGAACATTACATCCGGCTGAAGATCATTAGTTAAAGACTTAAACTTATCTTCTTCATCAGGTATGTAGGCATCATTGATGTTATGTCTTTGCAACCCATTTGGAATGATTTTTTGTCGGGAATCAACTGGAACATTAACTATCTTTGGATGGTTTACTAAACCGGTGCTTGTATCACAGTAGTGATTTGTGTGAGGAATTATCTGTTGGTTAGGCGGGGTCATAAATGACACAGCCGTTGGACTAACCTTGCTGTGACCAGTTGGGGTTGCGATGATAAGGTTATTTGTGCTCAGTGGAGGAGTTTGTCCTTTATGAAGCTGCGCTTTGGGATTCATGATGGTTATTTCTTGAATACGTTCCTGAACGCAAAGTGCTGTCAGACGAGCTTCAGCATCATGATCCCAACAGTCTTCGCAGGTATCTTTCACAACTCTAGCTGCCACACTGTTCTCATAGTTCATGGGGAATCTAGGTCTTGCTTTATTCCGTGACACTAAAACTTGCATTTGTTCAAAGTTTGGATTGGTTCCAGTTTCGTCTTCATAGGGGGCCTTATATTCCGGAACAGTAGATTCATCTGGATAGAAATCATCACATCTTGTTGCCAGTTCCCACAGTACTAACCCCAAAGAATAGACATCGATCTGTTTTAAAGCGGACTCACAGTCTCTCAGATTCACAGCTCCTTCCAATACTTCAGGAGCCATGTACCGGAGCGTACCAACTTCATTGATACTTTTCGTTTCAGCTAAAGCAATTTCACCACGACATTCGTAACGTGGTCCGAAGGTTTTTAATGCAAAGCCCAAATCGCAAATACAGCAAGACAAATCAGCTTTCACTAATATGTTTCTCGAATTGAGATCACGGTGACAAATACACGGCTTAATCAGATCTCCTTTGCGAATTTCCGTATGCAAATGAGCTAGTCCATTGGCAATCGACTTTCCCATCCGGCAAAAAATTCCGAAAGGCATCCGATTATCGGTTAACCAATCCTGCAGACATCCTAACGGAGCCAGGGACAGAACCAAGAGATATTCAATGCGATCGTCCATTGTTCTACGTTCATCACAACCTGGTAGATAGAAAACAACATTATAGACATTATCGTTTAATCTAATTTATTCAATTTACCGAAATAGCTTAGTAGGGCTGGTGATTCCATTAGAGGAACATCGTATATATCCTTTTCATTCAGAAAATACTGTCTATGTTGAGCTGTAAAAATTTTCACGGCCACATGTTGCTCGTTGACAACGCCCTTCCATACAGTTCCATATCTGAAATTGAATATATAATCGATTGATTTTCCTTTAATTCCAAAGTCATGTTCAGGCTAGAGCCTCATAACATGTTATAATAATTATAAACTAGAAAAATTTCTTCAAGATGGCCGTATAAAAAACAAAAATCAAGCTACTTACTTTCCCTGACCAATCATGGACACAAGCTTCAAATTATCCACGTTGTACAAGTTTGAACTGTAACCCGGTCCTGATGGTGCCAGAGGTGCGAGTTCCGAAACAGCTTTCGTCGTCGTGCGACACGTGAGGAAACCAATGATCAGCATCAAGATAATGCCAACCATGGCAAAGCAAATATAAACCGTTGGTGAACTCCAGATCGAAGTGTACGGAGCAAACGGTGTATATTCGCTGTCCGTGCCCATGCTGGCACTGTCGGCAAGAATAGGATTCGATGCATAACTAAAGTTCCCATTACAATTATCTCCCGAACAGCAGCAAAAAAAGTGTCCACTTTTCGTTTCCTTAGAGCTAATGCACTCATTGTTGAGACACGTTTCCTTTTTGTCCGATAGCTCCCAGCATCCTAGTATCGAAAATATCACATTAGTGAAAAAAAAAACAAGATGAATTAATGGATCACCTACCTTGAACAACTACCTTGGTGGTATTCTTCACTGCATCTATTGTCCATAAGGCATAACAAAAGGTGGCATAACGGGAACATGCAACCACAGTGGACTAGAATCGATACAGCGGAGAATATTATTAAAAAAGGGTACTATATAGCAATGGAATCTTAAGAATAGTATAGATACTCAGTAATAGACTTGTCAATGTGCCGCCATGTTGTATCCAAAACGACCATTTTCCATACGATTTGACAGTTCGTTTGGATACGGCATTCTCACGTTGGCAGGTCTTTTACTATGAGTGTATATCGACAGTGAGCATGCATAAGGGCCTATACGCGATGATCGATTCTCTTCATCGATTTTCTCTTTGCATTGCTACAGCTAAGCGCAACAGTTTTGTAGAATTTATTCAATGTAGAGTTGTAACAGGTTGCATTGGCTATCAAAAGCAACAGCAAACGCACCGACAAACGTTAAATCTAGCGAGTTATTAACAAAAGAGAAAATCGATGAAGAGAATCGATCATCGCGTATACGCCCTTATGAATGCTCACTGTCGATATAATAAATAGTGCATAGGGGTGATTCAAATATGACTCACTCTTGAGGGGGGGATGGAATTTGTGACAGTACGCGTAATAGGTATTGGAAAAAGCGTAAGACAGGGGTGTCACAGAGGAGTATGAAAATCAAAAAAAAATGTGATTGAATCACCCCATAACCCGTTTACCAAGCTTTTACCGCAGACATTCAAACGTAACGCTCAAAATAACTATTAACCGTGTCTAACGTAACCGACAATATTGGACATTAAAGGCATGTATACGATTATGCAGAATCAAGAGTTACGTCTGTTTGTCTGTGCTTTTACAATTACGATACATACGGTATTTTTATCAAAAACTGCATCATCTGTTGGGTCTGCCGGCTCGTCGTAGCTTTCATAGTCATCCGAACTGTCCTGGTTTACCTGATTGTTGGTATTTGTAGTAGATGTTGTTCCATACTGAAGACAGTAGCGTACATTCAGTGGAGTTCCTGTGAATAGGGTATTGTTTCGTGTTACTTGCTCAAAGTAGTTTAGTAGATGCAACATGTAAAAAAAGAGTATGACTTTTTTTTTTGCGTCCACATCCGTGTGATTTTTGAGCTAATTGATCCCAGCTAAGCATAATCTAAAAAACTCGTATGGCTTAATAACTGAGAAATGTTGTTTTTTGAAAAAGTTAATGGTCTTGATATCCCATGCCAAATTTATATTTATGTTTATCAGAGTTGGTTGGAAATGCTATCTAACATGAAGCTTTAGTGGGATAATTTATTAGCTAGAGAATAGTCTTAGACTCTTCCTTTCTCTGGTAGGTAGATAGTTTCGTTAGAGTTCGGCAGTAAGAAAATTGAATAGAAGTTGAAAATGAGCGAAGGGCCTGAACTCTGAAAATCGCAAACTTCGCGTATGAAGTAACATAAAAACACTTTGAATGTAACAACTCAAGGCGGGAGTAACCGTCAACAATGCTGATGATGGTACTGCACGCAACAACCACCCTACTGCTTTCTCTGAGACGACCAAGTTGATCATGACGAGAGGAGCAACACCAATAGTTGGGTAAAGAAGAATTGCATTTTAGGGTTAAATTCCCCATTTCCGGCCTATTAAGCACAACCCGCACTTAGTCTTCCTTAATCTAGCGCAGGTTAGCCCCAAACGGAATGTTCAAATTTATTTACCTTTCCGTACGTACCGGTAAAATTTGATAAAGAGAAACCAATCGTTGAGATAGTGTCAAAAGTCTATCAATGCTTCTTGACGCCATTCGGCCGGCCTAACGCATTGAAACGTTATTGAAACGCCAATGAATTCACTTCGGCCTATCGGATAAAACATGATTCGCTCGGCGCGCTTCTTTTGTTTTTGGGAATAATGGGTGCAAACCTCAAACGCATAATTGACCTGTTAGCTCTGAAATCATGGATTTATTTGAAGCTTTCTACTCGATAGGCTCAAAATGGGCGATTAAGCCGAAGTAGTTCTCTATCCTAACACACCATCGACTGGAAATGCTTTCGGCAACGTGGGGCTTTAGGTATAGTGATGAAACGTCGCTAGAACTATTCCACAGCCACAGACAGTATATGAGCAAAAGCGGGTGCACACTTTTTTGCCTGTAGATTTGAAGGCAAAAAAGTGTGCATTTGACTTTATACTGTCGCATTAATGGCCCTTCGCTGATTTTCAACTTCTATTCAATTTTTATACTGCCGTACTCTAACGAAACTATCTACCTACCAGAGGAAGGAAGAGTCTAAGACCATTCTCTAGCTGATAATTTATCACACCAAAGCTTCATGTTAGATAGCATTTCCAACCAATTCTGAAAATCGCAAACTTCACGTTTATGTTTATTTTCCAGATAAATCTTTTAAATTCACTACCTCCGGTATTTGAACCAAAGATTTGATTTATGCGGTTCATTCGATGCAAATGCTGGAAAACAACAAAAAACCGAAACCTGGATTTTATGTGTTTCCCCAATATTTTGTACGCTAATTTAAACCAGTTTCTCTTAGTCGTTAATATTTTGAACGCTAATTTAAAGCAGTATTTCTCATAAAACTTTTCCGATATTGTTAGTAGAGGTGTATTAATCTATGCGGATTCAAAAACTACAAAAAAAGTCGTTCACGTTAAAAAATGTGACGTAACATTATGATAACATTAATTGATATAATGTGAAATCCTGGATTTTGTTATGTGTCAAATGTCTGTGACATACAAATGATGAGGCAAAATGCACTCCAACAGTGGGGCAAAATACACTACAATAATGGGACAATATGACTGTTCTTGCCGTCTTACAAATGATCATGACCAAGAGGCATTACTTCTTTCGTCGTTCGCCAAATGGAGAGCCCTATGTGTATGATGTTATTTTTACATGTTACTTACTTTTAGGTTGTTTTGACTTGTACAAATAAAATAAATAAATAAATAAATAAATAAAACGTCTTCGTTTTTTACTGTCTCCAGCTCCGTTCGTAGTTATTTATGGCCCAGGACCGCTCAATAGACTTCGGAACGTTGCGGACCATTTCTGAAGAAAGAATTGAACGCAAACAAAGCTTGTTTCCTAAAGCATCATTTTGCCCCGAACTTAGGAGTGCATGTTGACCCAAATGTATAAAGAAAATATGTTTGATCATAAAAGAGAAATACATCATAAAACTTATCGGTATTTTATCGGAAAGATGTTCAAACCTCAGTCAAATGGTTAATATCTTTCACCGACGCTAAATAATGTTTGAATCGCTAAAAAATCTTAACAATGAGGAGGACAAAATTACACTATATCCAATGCAAACAGGTTTTTGTTATATTTACATTAACATAGAGCTGCCAAATTGATACGGTGTTCAAAGCAAACACAGATTCAACTTATAGGGTAACTACTTTGTTGTTAAAATGTTTTTAGGCTTTAAACGAAGGAAGTGTATCTTACCCCTGGCTAATGAGATTATCTCAAAATTAAGTATAATTTGACTCAAAATTGCAAAAACAAATGGGGTTACTCAATGAATGAGTAAATTTTCCCATGATTTTCCAGAAAACACTTCTTGAATACCGTAGAACAACGGGGTTCGAATAGTAAAAAATGCATTTAAACGGCGCTTACTTTGAAATTGTTTAACGGATACTCCTACAGTGCCCAATACACGGTAACCACAAAAGACCCAATAATTACTACAAAGTAAGCATTTTCGAGGGAAACTGGGACTATCCATTAAATGAGTAAAATTTTACCCTTTATTGAGTAATTACAACTACAAAAATAAGTAGTAAGTATTCATTTGTGAGTATCAAATAAACATAAATGGGTATTTTATAACTCATTAAACGGGTAGTCCCAGTCTTCCTCAAAAATGCTTACTTTGTAGCCAATATCGAGTCTTTCATATTCATTATTGGGTATTTTGGGCACAAAATGGTGAGTTGATAACCTGGAAGGAGCGGTATACCTAGCTCTGGTCCTCACAAGTTCCTACTTCACGCCTCCCCGAGTCATATGATAACAAAAGACTACCAGCTGAAACATGGACACAGCTGGGTGGCCAGTCCGGCAATAGCAAAGTGTAGAGGTGCGACGCGAACACTGGCGCGGTAACCATAGTACGGTGATAGAGGAAATGCTTCACCAAACCTGAGCGTCTGTTCACCATGGAGGTGCGGCTCAAAACGGCGTCTGTTTTTCATGTTAGGAGCGGCTGATCACCGTCCTAGTGCCAGCGTGGGGCTCTAAACAGAGCTGTGCACGATGGTCCCCCGGCGAGACAGGGGGTTGGAGCAGGCCCAACAAGCCGCCCTGGAAAAACATAAAGTTGCAAATAGCATTCGGAACAGACCTACGCGACGAAATAAGGACTACGATTGGAAACTCTGAACGTCTGAACATGGATCTGCAAATCGCTCGGTTTCCCGGGGTGCGATAGGTTAATCTATGACGAACTTCAACCACGCACCTTCGAAGTCGTAGCACTGCATGAACTTTGCTGGACGGGACAAAATGTATGGAAAAGCGGGCATCGAGTGGCTACTTTGTACCAAAGCTGTGGCACCACCAACGAGCTGGGAACCGGCTTTGTAGTACGATGCGCCAACGCGTGATTTGTTGGCAGCCGATCAACGTGAGGATGTGCAAGTTAAGGGCCGTTTCTTCAACTACAGCATTATCAACGTACACTGCCCACACGAAGGGAGACCTGACGACTGAAAGCTGAAGCTTGGCGGAATGGACTTGCCATTAATGCGTCAATGACAAAATACATGAAAGGAATAGGTTCTAGGGAAGACAATGTTAGCCTCTCACCCCGAGTTCAGATTAACGGTGACGAAATCGAGATGGTCGATGAGTTCGTGTATTTGGACTCACTGATGACCGCCGATAATGATACCAGCAGAGAAATTCAAAGACGCATTATGACAGGGAATCGTACCTACTTTGGACTTCGTTGGACGCTCCGGTCGAATAAAATTCGCCGCCGCACGAAGTTGACTATCTACAAGACGAATGAAGTAATGAAATTGGGTTGTTAGCGGAATGCCTAAATAAAACAGCAAAAAAAGGGTTACCTTCCATTTAATTCCACTTAATTAATTTTGGCATCCATGACAGATACGTATTTCGACTACAATGTGCAGTCTTCATCACTGTCATTCCCACTAAAGAACTTTTCAAAATCTAACCCCCTTAGGTACTCATCCCCTAGGTATAAAAGTCAACAAGACGCTGATTAGACCGGTGGTTCTCTACGGCTACAAAACCTGGGCTATGCTCGTGGAGGACCAACGCGCCCTTGGTGTTTTCGAACGGAAGGTGTTGCGTACCATCTACGGTGGAGTGCAAATGGATGACGGAACGTGGAGGAGGCGAATGAACCACGAATTGCACCAGCTGCTGGTAGAACCATTCATCGTCCACATTGCAAAAATTGGGCGATTACGATGGGCTGGGCACGTCGTAGGAATGCCACACGACGACTCAGTGAAAATGGTTCTCGAAAGCACCCCAACAGGAACAAGAAGAAAAGGCGCGCAGCGGGCAAGATGGATCGACCAAGCAAAAGGCGACCTGCGGACCCTTCGCAGACTACGAGGCTGGAGAATTGTGACCATGGGTCGAGTAGAGTGGAGACAACTTCTTCGGACAGCAGAGGAAAACAAGGCCTTAGCCTGATAGGTATTAGACTCTCAAAATTTGAACTCATTTGGTAAGAAGCTGTTTTCCGTGCTGAGCACCAATGCTACCGATGCCAGGGAGACAGCTCACACACCTGGACCCTAACTATCGACCCATCAAACTCATGAACCGGAGACCAAAGGCTTCACTTCCCATGATCGGAGATGTTATGGCTCAGAACATCCCGGCGGTGCCGATTGGGATTGAACCCAGCCCTGACTTGGCACAAACTATTTGAAAGTTATATGGAAATTACTATGGGAAATCCAAGCAACTTGAAGTTCAAAAAAAGCACTAAGCAACAAAGTTCCCAACGGAACTTCTTAGCAACTTTAAAGTTTCTTAAAAGTTCACTGTGGAACTTCTAAGCAACTTGATACTTTTAAAAAAGGTCCGTCAAAGCCCACATGAAACAATCCGTACAAATCTATATTAGTAACAATATTTAATGTACGTAAATACGAACGGCGCCGGTGGTGTAGTGGTAAGCGTGATTACCTCTCACCCCAGCAGGCCTGGGTTCAATCCCAGTCGGCGCCGCCGGGATGTTCTGAGGCATAACAACTCTGATCACGCCTTTCCTTCGGATGGGAAGTAAAACCGTTGGTCCGTTGGTTGATGGGTCGATAGGTAGGGTCCAGGTGTGGGAGCTGCCATCCTGGCACGTCGGTTGCATTGCACAGTGGTCCAGAATGCAGATTTAGCTGGAATGATATGTTTTGAGCCTGAAATTGAAACTTTAGACAAAAAGTCTCTTCTACAAAGTTGTTCCTTATAGTTAGGCCCTCATTTTTATGACAATGAATTCTAGGGTGGTTCCTATTATCATTAAAATTAAAAATCTAACTTTTTTGTTTGAATAAATTAAGGTATACATTCTTCGGCAAAGTTATAGCTGAGCTAATTTCAAGTAACTTTGTTGGAAATAACTTTTTTGTATCTCTTAAATTGGCCGATTTAGAGCTATTTTCTTAAATTGAGTTAGGGTGGCTCTTAAAAAAACAGTTTTTTTGCTCTATTTTTCTTATTTCAAATTTCTCAGCAAAGGTGTCTTGAGATAACTTTTAGATCTTAAAAAGGCGCAAATGTTTGCTGCACAAAACTTGTCAATACCTTTCGTCGATCAAGAGTTATTGACGTTTTTATACTAAAAATATGCACTTTCCAAATGTTAATATCTCTGGTTGGGGCAAACAAAAAAAAAGTTTATTGGCAGCATTTGAAAGGGCGTATGTTATTCTCAATAATATGAAAAAATTGGAGGTATGTTATTTTTTAAACTCGTATAAAATCAATTTGAATTTATTCATATTTTTTACTATATTTGAGTATATCTTTTTTATTAGAAGAGATACAGGCAACAAATTCAGCTATAAAACATTCGTTTTAAAGAGTTTTAAAGGTCTCTACAGGATGACTTTCATGATAAATTTCAAATAAAAAAGTTATTGGCAAAAGATGGATTTCATAGGACCACTCTAATGACAAATTTATATAAAATGAGATAGTACATTTGTTTCAATATTTGGACATTTAGTGTCTTCAAAGAAGTTTTTGTTCTTAAAAATTCCCTTCTTTTGGTGTTTGCAGACGTCAGGGTGGTCCTCAAATTAGGGAATTTTTAAAACTATTTTTTTTGTTTTACAAAATATAAACATGTGTTGTTCAAAAAAGTTGTACTTAAGTTACTTGCAAGCAACTTTGTAGAAGACATTTTTTTTCTATCTCTTAACGTTCTCATTTTAGAGTAATTTTTCGGAGTTGACTTAGGGTGTTCCTGGAAAAAATAGTTTTTTAGCAATAACTTTTTTATTTGAAAATTCTCATGAAAGTTATCTTCTAGAGCATTTTTAAACTCTTAAAGACGAATGTTTTATAGCTGAATTTGTTGCCTGTATCTCTTCTAATAAAAAAGATATACTCAAATAAAGTAAAAAATATGAATAAATTCAAATTGATTTTATACGAGTTTAAAAAATAACATACCTCCATTTTTTTCATATTTTTGAGAATAACATACGCCCTTTCAAATGCTGCAAAAAAACTTTTTTTTGTTTGCCCCAACCAGAGATATTAACATTTGGAAAGTGCATATTTTTAGTATAAAAACGTCAATAACTCTTGATCGACGAAAGGTATTGACAAGTTTTGTGCAGCAAACATTTGCGCCTTTTTAAGATCTAAAAGTTATCTGAAGACACCTTTGCTGAGAAATTCGAAATAAGAAAAAACAGAGCAAAAAAACTGTTTTTTTAAGAGTCACCCTAACTCAATTCAAGAAAATAGCTTTAAATTGGCCAATTTAAGAGATACAAAAAAGTTAATGTGAACAAAGTTGCTTGAAATTAGCTCAGCTATAACTTTGCCAAAGAATGTATACCTTAATTTATTGTAACAAAAAAGTTAGATTTTTGATTTTAATGATAATAGGAACCACCCTAGAATTCATTGTCATAAAAATTAGGGCCTAACTATAAGGAACAACTTTGTAGAAGAGACTTTTTGTCTAAAGTTTCAATTTCAGGCTCAAAACATATCATTCCAGCTAAATCTACATTCTGTACCACTGTGCATTGGTGCTCAGCACGGAAAACAAGATCGACAGAAAAAACAAACCAAAGGAAAACAAAACAAAATGTACGTAAATATGAAATGATAATTGGCTCAATTAAATCATAATTCTTTTATTTATACAGTGCATCAATATTCTAAACATAAAAAATAATTAAAGGTTGCCCTTTCCTGGATTTGAACCCGTATATTCGGCATGCGATCAACGAACGCTAACGCTCGCCACAAGTGTGCTGGAATATTATGCGGGCAAACACCAATTTAAAATTCACCAAGGTGTTGTATTTCGTATTCATTCTTCAAACAATCCCAAATATTACTACTAATGCTAATAAATCAATACAAGTTCATACCTGACTTTAGAAATAACTTTCATAAAATTACGAACTAATAGAATTGGTGTAGAGGACAAAACCCTTTTTTTAAACTTATTTTCCAAAAAAAGCTGTTCAAGTTCCGCCAGAAGCTGCTTCGAATGCCCTTCAATTATGGTGCCGGAACTTTCATTTCTTATAACAACTTAAAAATGAGGCTGCTTAGAATTCCTTAGACCCCCTTCAACCAAGCTGCTTAAGCCTCAAATAGCCTTTGATTAGAACTTTTTGTAACTTGGGTATTGGTTTGTAACGCATTGATTTGTCAGTATACTTGTATGGCATACATTAGCGAAATAAATCCGGACAAAGACTTATCAAAATGGAATCATAATGTTTGCAAATTTAAATACAGCCCAATGCCTTGTGTAAACAAGGACAGATCGGTCCAAACACATACAAATATATGAATATGAAACAATTTAATTGACTTTCAATTTATTGAATCAGTTATGCTTAAATTTTCCAATGGCAATCAGAATAACTCAATTAACCTAGGGAAAATGTCGGCATCAGGCAATACCTTAGTCTATTATCGTCAGGGGGTAAACAAAGTCCTAGAGCACTCTGAAACACATTGAATCCACAAGCCAAAATGGAGCGGAAAGAAATCTCATTATACCTTTTGGCAAATTTCTATTGCTGATTATTCATAAAATGTATAAGTCAACTAATAAGCAGACGCCTTGCAAAAACTTAATGAAGATCATGTGTCAAATGAAATGTATAAGTGGTCACACATACCTTTTATGCATTCTTATAGGACATATGTGGTTTGTCTTATGGAATGTTTAAGGCTGATGTTTTGACAAAAATGTATAATGTGAAACACATGAATAAAATAATTGATTTTCGTTTCGTAAAGGACGTTGTTTACCCCCTGACGATAATAGAATAAGGCATTGCCGAAGCCGTCATGTACCCTATTTCAGATAGAAAACTGTAAAATTGTAAAATAATCATTACTAATAGACCGTTGCTTAAGTGGGATCACAAGAGAAGTGAAGCTTTGAAGCACCATATGTTCTAAATATAACTTGTGTGCACGGAAGGATGGACACATTTAGATGGTACTCATTCAAAAGAAACATTTTGTCAGATTTAGTGAAACTGAAGGATGTAATAAAACGCCTAAATGTATACAATCTCCTTCTTTTGAATATAAATGATTATCTGCATAATCTATTTAAACATTAATTATTATTATTAGATCATTTTCACGGCACGAATATTTTACACTGTAAAATTTTTATATACTGGAATGTAGTGTGATCGAAATAAAGATGTTTTTCTGAGACATTATACGTATTTTCGTATTGAAAAATCAATGCAAGAGTACAGTGGTTTTGTCCCTGATAGGTGGATTAGTATTTATCTCCTGTGTTTCAAACAGGATTTGTCCACCTTCTTTAATGTGTTACTTGATTTCAGAATCATTAAATTGTTAATCCAACTCATGGCAAGTAGTCAAACCATGCGGTCCTACTCACCCCATATTCGGAGGAAAGTTGAAAAAACAAACCTCTTTTCACATTGTATGCTATGTCTAATGTTTCAATCTTTTTTAAGTTTTTCTTAACTGCCATTGCTTTAGGGACTGACCAACGAGTTTAATGATGGAACAAGTTTTAAATTCGATATAAACAATTCTGGGGTAGCGAGCTTTGAACATAAGTTTACTGCCCATAAATGCATAACAGTCCCATGTGACTTTTTTTGTCAAAAATGAGTTATCTTGTGGATTCAATTATTACCCACCTTTTTTAATATGTGCACATAAAGTAAACTTTTTTGTTCTGAAAATCATGAAAAAATAAACAGTGTTTTTCTCAGCCTGCTGTTTTTCGACATGGTACTGTTATGCGTTTATAGGCAGCTGTACCTTACTTATGTTTCTCAGCGTTTAGAAAACAATGTTATTAACGATCATAATGCCAATATGTTTAAGTTTACTTCTGACACACTTACCTTCAACATAAACATAACTGCTAAGTACAATCAGTATCACAACAAATATTAGCCTTCTCATGGTGCTGTATTCCTTAACCGTCAGTTGTATCCGGCCGAACCTCAATTTCTCACTTGTCACTGTTGTGTCCTCGTTGCCCCGTTCTCTCTGGTTTATTAATACGTCAAATGACTCAAATGTGCTTATCCTTGGAAGACACACACTTTATGCCACTAGGTGCAAAAATCGATCAAACATTGGTATTCCATAGTCTATTTCTTCTCTTTCCTTAATCTGATGCATTTGTTTTGGGAATTTGTCTGCACCCACTCACATTAACAATCACGCTTTAAAATTTGAACGGCCTCTCTCGTCTGATATATTGCACTGAACACTGAAATGCTGACGCATAGAAATTAAAGGGCGTTTTCAAACGTCATTACAGTAGCAACTGATAACCTTAGTAAACGCAATATTGTCTTTATGTACCTTAAAAATGAATGATAGGGATCTCATTCATTCAATCAGTTATTGTTTGTTTTTAATTGTTTCAAAAGAAAATATTAGCATTTGATTGCTAAAATATCAATAAAATATCAATTAACATCTTTTCAATCCAATCATCTAATTAATTCTAGAGTTATTTTGAAATAATTTTCAAACATAAATACCAACTGCAAAGGACGACGAAAAACGAATTTTCTCTATCTTTCTCTCTCAATAAAGAGACACAGCTCACACTTGCATACCGCACTAATGTTACACTTGCTGCATCAGATAACTTTAAATTAGAATGAGCATGATGCGATAATAGCAATACAACTGATAACCAACAAGAAAAAAAACAACTCAGGCAATGCTTTGAATGCTAAAATAATGCGTAAAATCGTATTTATTGATTATTATTTTCAACAATCTTTTTGTTTACGAAAATTGAAATCTCTTTCTCCACAAGCACCTATCCAAGGATTGAGGGTTAATAGTTTTCCTTTAGACACAAACACCAATAAATATATTTTCTTTTCATTTCACGTTGGCCATTGGGGGGTGCGTTTTTCAAGATTTTTGTTTTGCGTTAAGATGTTCATCTGTAACTTTTTTTTTTGCGTTTCTTTATCTGATTTATCTGATATTGTATGCAGAACAGAAATATTGAATTGAATGCATTTTCTGTATTTTTTTTTCCAATGCAGAATACCACACAGCAATTTTTACAACAATTTTCCTGGATAATATCGCTGAATTTTCATGACTATGTCACATGTACACTTTTATTACCGATAACTATTTACATCCAAGATTCTCAAACTACAGATTGGTCCAAATATTGACAATACGGCACAAAAATTCGAAAAATCCTACGATATCACTCCGTTTGCGTAGCAACTTCTACCCTAACGCCACTACGTCTGGAATGATATTGATTTTTCCTCCTGAGAGTTTTTCTCGGAGCAAACCCACACTACTCTCCAATTCAATTTTGCCCGGTGCTATTGACGGATACAAATGATATTGCTAAGTATTGCTCGTCCGTTTATTATGTGTTAGTTGTTGTTGGTTGGGAGGGAGCGCAATTTCAACGCAAGCATAGTAAACATACATGTTGGATTCACTGGTCTATAGTACTATTTTACACCATAATATGACACATGCGGGAACAGTACTGGTGGAGTTCATAAGGATGTATACTACTCAATGCTCTCGCTCACTATGTATTTATATGCTGTCATTTATATCCTTAGTAATCCTGCCGGTGTGCATGGCTTATGCCTGCAAACTGTGCACGCTAGGGATCAAATCAGGAGCGAGAAATTATTTCAAAAGGAAGATATGTGTCATTTACACCTTTCTCAACAATAGGTACACTATCGGTCACATTGCTAGAAAAAAAAAAACATAAAGAACTGCAAAAGAGTATAATATACTATCTATTATCTTTTGTCACTTTTTAAATAGACTAATCTACATTTATCGATTCTCTTCATCGATTCTTTCTTTCGTTAATATTGTCGGTTAAGTTGGACACCGGACAACTCCACACGCGACATTTGTTTTTACTCTGTACGTTAAACATAACGTCGGACATCATTTTGCGAATACAGCGCACTATGTCCGACACTATGTTTAACATAAAGAATAGCTCAATAGCCCTATGTTTAACATAAAGAATAGCTCAATAGCCCTTAGCTCAGTCGGTTAAGGCGCAGCTACAAAGCAAGACCATGCTGGAGGTGGCTGGGTTCAATTCCCGGTTAGGTCTAGGAATTTTTCGGGTTAGAAAATTTCTCGACTTCCCTGAGCATAGAAGTATGATTGGATTTGCCACACAATTATACCAATGCAAAAATGGTCAGGCATCGAAAGCTCTCAATTAATAACTGTGGAAGTGCATCTAGAACACTAAGTTGAGAGCACGCAATAAGCTAATATGCGATATGCAATAAGCTTGAAATGCGAAGAAGAAGAAGAAGAAGATAAGAGTAAAATCGATTTTCACGAGTGCTCTCAGAAAAAATCTAAACTATCTAGTTTAAAATTCATACAAAATCGCTATTCGTCTGGTTGACCGGAGCTTTGTATAAATAGAGAGAGAGAGAGAGAGAGAGAATACGAACTTAGAATAAACATGCTTTTTATGCATAGATAGTGTAAAGTGCAGGTATTGTTTCGATGCCCGAAAAAAAATTATAATAAAAAAATTAAATTTCAATGATTTTTGCTGTTGAATTTTGAGTTCATTCAAATTTATTGTTTAATTACTGCACAGAGGAAAATGAATTTTAGATTTTTAACGATACAATGCTCAAACAATGAAAATCAATGTGATGAGATTAAATTTGTTCTAGAAAAATCCGTTGTTTTATTGTTAAGATGCTTAACAACCCACTTTTTTACTGTATATTTCTCAAACACCATGATTTTCATTATTGCGAACCATGAATTCCATAAATATCATGGTTACAAAGAAATTCATTGTATTTTTATTGGATTATTTTTACGGGCGCTTACAGGGTTTTTTTTTTTGCATTTTGGGTCAATACCAAGTATCGTACCAAACGCATAATTGACTTGTTAACTCTGAAATCATGGATTTATTTGAAGTTTTTTGCTCGATAGGCCCAAAATGGGTGATAAGGTCGAAGTAGTTCTCTACCCTACTTTACTCTACCAAGAACGATCAAGCCGAATCCTCTTTCAGCCGGTGATCACGCTGAAGCCAACGTTGTCCTGTGAATCGAGAAAAATCACTATGATCACAGTAATTGTAATACGGTCTTGTGCTGATGATGTTCTTGGATATGATTTGCTTTGGAGCTTAAAGTTTTTATTCTCATGTGATCCATCCATGTCTGTAGGGCTCTGCCTGAACTCTATCCCGACTCGTCGTTGAAGGTTGCTATTCGTTTCTTCTGCATCCGTTTCGCATCCAGCAGTTGGTTTGGAGCTGCACAACCTCTCCGTCAAGTTTTTTCCACTTTGGTACTTTTTGACCCCCTAATCAGATCCTATACGAACATTTTGGGATTTATTTTCAAAGGATTTACTGTGTAGTTTGTGAGAAATATGAATAGGATAAATTCCACTGGACCGTTGTACTAGTTAGTTTAGTTTAGTTTTCTTTATTAACGACCGTTGTACTAGATTTTCGGGTATCTTTCGATTCTCAGTTTCCGATCTCTACAACGGTCAATGTTAGGGCCTTGATACTTTCCCATCACGAAACCAGATTCCAAACGAACGTTTTGGTATGTATTTCCGGAGAATCCTTTGTGTCCTCAGTGAGATCAATCAAGAAGAAATCCGATCATTGGAGCAAAAATACTTACACCCAAATCGTCGTTGTCATCGCCTAAATGCCCCCGGGATGTTCTGAGGCATAACAACTCTGATCACGCCTTCCTTCGGATGGGACGTAAAGCCGTTGGTCCCCGGTTCATGAGTTGATGGGTCGATAGGTAGGGTCCAGGTGTGGGAGCTGCCTTCCTGGCACGTTGGTAGCGTTGGTGCTCAGCACGGAAAACAAGATCGACGGAAAAAACAAACCAAAGGAAAAAAAAATCGCCTAAATGCGAGCCTAAATGGCAGCCTTGACTCAATGCATTTCCTTTTCACAAGCTAGTACAAGGATAAGGTATGGTATTGTAACCATGGCTACTGTGAATACTGGCGGTGGAATGAATACTGCGTGAACTTTTCATACACTCAGCAATCAGAGACGTTGAAAAGTTTGTTCGTTGTAATGCATGCTTGCAGACGTGCTTCTACAGGTGAATACACTAATAAAAATTCAATGATTATTTTTATGTGTCCCACACATGAATTTTTGCAATGTGATAAACAAATGATATATATGTGTCAGACACATAGTTCTTATGTGTACACATACAATTCATTTGTAACCACACATACTATTCATTTGACTCATAAATTTCATGTGTACTTCTGAGTGAATTCTGTTTATGTGTGGACACATGAAAATCATGTGGAATTTTACATGGAAATTCGCCAATAAAAATGTGTCGAATTTTATCAGTGTAGGATGCCGCAGGCTGACGTCCGACACATAGATATCATTTGTTGATCACATTGCAAAAATTCATGTGTGCACGGATAAAAATCTCCTTATACTTTTTGGCTAATTTCTATTGCTGATTATTCATAAAATGTATAAGTCAACTGATAAGCAAACGCCTTGCAGAAAGTTACTGAAGATCATGTGTCAAATGAAATGTATAAGCGGTCACACATACCTTTTATGCATTCTTATAAGACCTATGTGGTTTGTCTTATGGAATGTACGAGGGAATGTATAAGGCTGATTTTTTGACAAAAATGTATAAGTGAAAAACATGAATAAAATAATTGATTTTCGTTTCGTGTAGGGTTTCAAAACATTATATTAGTCGTACATCAGCATTATAAACGGTGATTATTTTTTTTTTAGCTTTGGTTTGTTTTTTCCGTCGATCTTGTTTTCCGTGCTGAGCACCAATGCTACCGACGTGCCAGGAAGGCAGCTCCCACACCTTGACCCTACCTATCGACCCATCAACTCATGAACCGGGGACCAACAGCTTTACTTCACATCCGAAGGAAGGCGTGATCAGAGATGTTATGCCTCAGAACATCCCGGCGGCGCCGCATAAACGGTGATTAGCGGGCTGTTGTCAGTTGTGGGAATTAGGACGGTGATTCAACACGCGCCATCTTGAAGATCCAGCAAGAAAAGGTCGTACGTTGAACAGCTTGAGATCAGAGCAGCGGATGTTCCAGAAAGTAGTATTATAGAATAACAACGGACAGCCATCGGCCACATGAGTTAGCTGGGAACTCAGAGAAAAGAGTTCCGATGAAACCTGACAAACAATTGAGGAGTCAAGAGTGAAGTCTGACAATGGTATGGGCACAAACGAAGTGACAGACGACTAACTGGCGAAGAAATCCATTAAAATAATGTGGTTCACTTAATAGAATTTTCATGGAAGCTTG